AGAATTTAAGCCCATCCATCGCGACACCGTGCAGATCCTCCATGACAGTGACCACTGGGTGACGGTATCAAGCAACGACCGTGGCGTGATGTATGCTGACAGCACGAAGAGAGCTGTTAGCGAACACATCAATAAACAGTTGAAGCAGATCTTCCAAAATAAACGTGACAGTAGTGGTAACCTTACAGTTGAACTGCTTCCTTGCCAGTTGCAGACAAATGGTTCAGACTGTGGCATCTTTGCCATTGCTAATGCAGTTGAACTTTCCCTAGGTAACAGTTTGCACTCCTGCAGATACGACATTGCAAAGATGAGACCCCACCTAGTGCAGTGCCTGATCGCACACGACGTCAGTCCTTTTCCAAAGACTGTGACGCGTGGACGCCCGCCGAAGTCAAAGATCATCACGCTATAGTTGTGTAACCGAAAGTTGTACTGTAAATACTAACCTAACACTGACATATTTAAACTAGAAATTATGTCCAATGAACATGATGTATTGAAGCAATTGAACTTGAATTTGTTTTCCAAAATATGCTATCATGCTTATGAAAGTGCTATCCATAAATACAGAGTTTGTTGTTTCTAATACAGTTTTTGTTGTCTGTATACAGTTTTTTAATATACCAGTTTGATTCTACATGTGAACACAATCGATGGTTGAAATGTAAGTCTAAGAACAAAACATGAACTAATTCTCAAGAACTCCTTCATCTTTGACTGACTGATGTATTTTCAATCTTTATTCAGCACTGAAGAGGCACCATGCCTATAGTACGAAGCATTAAGTTTATGAAAAATCAGCATTGATTTTGACTCCATAAACTGTCATAAAGTATTCATAAAGTATCAGGGGTCATTTCAACTTGCAAAATGATTGACATAGTCCTTTATAGAGCGAGGATAGGCTTGTTTTCCCACCCGATTGACTGATATTACATGGTTTAGAACGGTACAATGAATGGTTAAGCATGCATTTTACACTAATACGCGATATTTCATAAGAAAATATCATATCTCCGTTAAAACATAAAACCAATATTTATGAGTATATAAGACTTTATCACTGTATCCAATTCCAAAATTTTAGATATAAACTTTAATTCATCACAGGATGTGTAGCTAGACGACGGGAATCTATAGTCTTGACTGTTTTCTTTGATGAGAATGTTTCTCACCGACCTTAGTGTGTAGGGGTGTGATATCCTGGGCAGGAAATGACAGTGTTTTGACTACTCGTCTTTCATTAATTAACGTGTTGGGCATCCCTAATGAACCTTTACTAATTCATGTTAAACCAACACAGGATGTTTTCTGGAAGTGGACAATCGCGAATGTCATAGGGCTGACACGACACGTGTTAATAACTTCTAAAGTTACTAAACAATCTTTGTACCTAACGACTAGCATATAAACTAAACATCGTCTCTATCAGAAGTGATTTGCTTGTCTATAGATGTAAACACATTTGATGATACATCTGTGTGTTTAAAGTTGATTTTGACAGCCCGGGCCAAGTCGGACGGAACACAAACACTTCTGATAGAGACTGTTGATAATGTAGAGGGAAAAGCGCTTCACTTTTTTTAAATACCGCAATCTGAGACACTATAAAGTGGTATTAAGGTAGATATAATACTAGTCTATAGGTGTGAGTCCATTTCATCTTACATCTGTGAGGTTTAAATTGATCTTGACAGCCCGGGCCAAGTCGGACCGAACACTTGTGAGACAGTTGAGAGTATGGGGAGAAGAGGTCTACTATAACAAACGTGTCTGCTTTAAATACGATCAACAGTGACATTATAAAGTGGTATTTACTTAGCAATAGTACGTTCCTATAAATATAAACGCCACGCCGACAGATGGAAATTTGTATCAGGATAGCTGGAAGTATTTGATACGTTTCAAATCTTATTTCGTTTAACGATTGATTTTATACATGTTACCTAGATCAGCGACGCTTACATCTCATTTTTGGTTGGTGCTTGTTCATAAATCTCATGTGTCTATGTTGCATCAATGATATGTAGGTATGATCACCGATAATGAAGAAATTAGCCAATAACACTTTGGTCCGTCTTGGCCCGGCTGGCCCGACTTTTAGGCAATACCCTCAACTATTGACTTACTTACTTACTTACTTTTGAGATTCAACGTGCGCATTCCGACTGATGCGTATTTCGCACACGGGCCAGGCCATTTAATGTGTTTTCGTCCTATGGAAACTCAAACAGCTAAACCTAATCTAACCGATGATGAAGATTTCTCCACTACTGAGGAAACAATAGACACTACTCCAACTAAAACAAACCAAAATTCCCTCTCAGCCCCAAAAAGGAAGAAATAACTAAACCGCAAAACTCCCCAAACAGCCAACACCCAAAACCTAAATAACCTCCTAAATACTCCTAGTATACATGCATAGTCAAAACTAACCAAAAGCTAGCATGAAATCCTTCCACAAATTAAAGTAGCTTTCAATATAAAATTAACCGATCTTTCCTTCTTCCTCTTTAACCTCCACCTAAAAGAAGTCACCGAATAAAATAAAAACTAAAAATAAAATCACCTATCACCCGAACCCAATAATGGAAGGACTAAATATTTTTCAGTGGAACGCCAACGGACTCACCTCCCGCGGCCATGAACTAAAAACTAAATTTAAACTAAATAAAGGCCCTCACATTGCTTGTATCCAGGAAACCAAATTCTTAAAAAATCCAAATCCACGCTACCTAACTACAACTAAGTTAGAACTGACAGAGCTAAACCAAAAACAAGAAGAGCCGCAGGAGGACTAATCATATTTATCAGGGAAGATATAAATTACGAAGAAATAAAAATAGACACGCCAAACCTAGAAGCCAACTGCATTAAAATCACATTAAATAACCGAAAAATAAACATCATAAATATATACCACTGGGCGGAACAAAAAGTCCAACCTGAGGATCTAAACAAACTACTTCAAATAAGCGATAAATCTACTATATTCCTAGGAAACTTAACGCTCACCATCCTACATGGAGCATAGATGATAAAATAGATAATCATGGCAAATTAATCTCCGAATGGATAGAAACAAACGACCTAGTACTCCTAAATAACAACCAACCCACGAGTTACGATAAGATAAACCAAAAAATGTCGGCGATCGACCTAACCATATGCACCGCAGATCTATCTCAAAGTACTCAATGGGAAGTGCACGACGTCCCGCTAGGTAGTGACCACTTCCCGATAAACATAACCATAGTAAATACAAACATACCAATCCAAACAGAAAACCAAGAACCAAAATTCTATTACAATAAGCTAAATGGGACCAATCCCAAGATATCTGCAACGAAGCTAACTTAAACGAAATAGAAAATAATGACCCAGAAACCTATTGTAAAAACCTAACAGACTAATATATAATAAAGGCAGCCAAAACCTCCATCCACTTCAAAACATCAGGCAAACCCACGGTACCATGGTGGAATGAGGAAATAGAACAGACTAGACGAAAACGTAAATCAGCCTTCAATAAAGCAAAACGCGACTACACACTTCTAAACTTAGCCCACGAACTAAACCACCAGGTTCAAAAACTAGTCCAAATAGCCAAAAGTAGAGACTGGAAAAAATTCTGCGAATGTATAAATAACCGTACAGATGCCAGAACGGTCTGGCGCAAAATCCACGCCATTAGAGGCTTAAAACGACATAAAAAACTAACATTAACAACTCAACCAACCCCGCCCAAAAAGCAAATAATCTCGCCAACCACTTTTCGGCCGTTAGCAGTAGCACCAACTTCAGCCAAAAATTCCAAGATAAACTTAAAACAAAAAACAAACCCACAAAAGAACCAAACAATAACAATCTAGAAATAAACCAACCCTACAAAATGGAGGAGCTCCTCTACGTAATCCAAAACAGGAAAAAGGGCACAGCCCCAGGATTAGACCTAACTTCTGAACAAATAATTAAAAAAAACAACCTAAAACTATATCCTACTCCCTGGAAACAGGCCCTAGTCATACAATCCCTAAACCTAATAAACCAGCTAATCAAGCTAACTCATATCAACCAAAATCTCAACTTCAAACTTATGCAAAGTAATGGAATCAATGGCTAAAAATAGATTACAACATTACCTAACCCAAAATAACATCAACTATTTAACTGCATGGCAAGTATTTATAAAACGACCGGGGGAGGAAATATTCTGGGGGGAGACTTTATTTCGTAGGGTGGGGGAGAGTTTATTTCGAGAGGGGCGGAACTGTACCGGTATAAATTCGCCGGGGGGAGACTTTATTCTGGGGGCGAATATATTTCGTGACACCGGAATGTGTTCCTGTAAGTTGTTTGGATGGTTGGGTCGTCTCCGCAGCTCTCTACCCAGATGATCCCACAAGTGCTCAATGGGAGAACGTGAGGGCCAAGGCAGTACGGGCACGGGACAGTCGGGTAGCCTAGTGGTTAAAGTGTTCGCTCGTCACGCCGAAGACTCGGGTTCGATTCCCGACCTGCGTACAATACAAAAGCCCATTTCTGGTGTCCCCGTTATATTGCTTGGAGATTGCTAAAAGCGGCGTTAAATCAAGCTCACTCACTCACGCACTCAGTACAGGCACGTTGACGTTGTTTAAAAAGCCAATCTGACCTTGTTGAGTCACCACCATGGCCATACAAATGGCCCTCTCTCCCTTAGTTCTGCATTTAAACGTGGCATTTGTTCGGTGTCTTTTGGGTTCATGTGATTGTGTCGGACACTTTCGGTCGACTTTTATACAGGTACCATACCGCACCAAAAACAATGTTTACATTTTTATTTGGTCGCAGCCTGTGCATCGATGGCTGCATGGTCTTGGTTCTTTGGAAGCGAGTGTGCTGCGTTTGGGACAATTGTTTACATCATGTTACAAACATTTGACTGCATGCATTTTGGGGGTTAATCAACATTTTCTTCTGTGAACTTTCTTTTGATCTTCAGTTTAGGTACTCACAATTCAGGACCATACGTCTGTCTACTACACGTTTCTTCAGCAGATGAACACAGCCTTCAGTTTGGAACCCTGCAAGAAAATAACAGTACAGAGTTGTCCTTGTGTGTAGACTCAGGAGTACTTGGGTCACATACCAAGTCACATACTGGGTTACATATTGTGTCATACTGGGTCACATACATCTTTCTGAGGCAAGGGAGTTAACGGACTATATAATGTTATCGCTTATGACTAATGAGTTATGTAATGGCTTGACTAACTATGCCTATGCATAGTCCTATCAAAATCGCATAACAACATCAACATCCGGTTCATAAACAAAGCATTTGTACTGTCAACATGCCGTCAACAGAAATATTCCAAATCGTTTCATGTTTAACCCAGGTACTCACGTGATTTCAAGCACTTCGCAAAGTAAGACCCTTTTTATTACAAGAAAGATCTTGGTTATCGATCAAATCATCTTGACCTGGCGCCGCCATTTTGTTTAAAGCAAATGTAGCGATATGAGAGGATAAATCCGATTGGTCAATAGGAGGCCAGGGACATAGAGGGGATATAACCCGTAAAAGCCGCTGGTGGCGCTACGATCGATCCCAGAAATTCCAGCCTAGTTCGGCAAGGATGGAAACTGGACTTTTTACATGCTGCTGGGTCTTTTTATTTGGAGCGAAAAATATAACTGGTACATTTAGGCCATTGTCTAAAATGTACGTCCTATAGGAAGTAAGACCATTATCAGGAACAGACCACACACAGGAAGTGAAAGCAGGACCAGTGTCAGGAACGAATCACAGACAGAAAGTAAAGACAGGACCAGTACCATGAACAGACCACACACAGGAAGTGAAAACAGGACCAGTACCAGGAACAGACCACAGACAGGAAGTGAAAACAGGACCAGTACATGGATCACATCACAGACAGGAAGTGAAAACAGGACCAGTACATGGATCACATCACAGACAGGAAATGAAAACATGACCAGTACCAGGAACACACCACAGACAGGAAGTGAAAACAGGACAAGTACCAGGAACAGATCACAGACAGGAAGTGAAAACAAGACCAGTAACAGCAACAGACCACAGACAGGAAGTGAAAACAGGACCAGTACCAGGAACACACCACAGACAGGAAGTGAAAACAGGACCAGTACCAGGAACGGATTACAGGCAGGAAGTGAAAACAGGACCAGTACCATGAACAGAACACAGACAGGAAGTGAAAACAGGACCACTACCAGGAACAGACCACAGACAGGAATTGAAAACAGGACCAGTACCAGGAACAAAACATACAGGAATTGAAAACAGGACCAGTACCAGGAACACACCATGGACAGGGAGTGAAAACAGGACCAGTACCAGGAACAGAATACAGACAGTGTACATACCTATCAAGGATGTTTGTAGACGATTAATTGTTTCTAAGGCGACCTGGCAGGTTTGATCTTTCTCAGCTAGCATCTACAAATAGATAAATTGAATAGCTCATAAAATAAATATAAACCAAGTACGATTTTATTGTTCATAGTAAGGATGCATGCAAATAGTTGTGTTGATGTTGTAAACTCCTTCAACTTGTGACAGGAACTTCAACAATATCAAGTCTGGACAAGTCAAGCAATAGGGTAATAGGTTTAAGATGTATCTACGGGTTGCACATGACTGTGGTATTTTAACCAATCCCTTCTCTATCTGACAATTCTGAAGTATCAATAACTATACAATCTCACCATTCTCTTCTCAAGTGTGACAAAAGGATATACAAACCAATTTCATGTTGTTTGCTTCGGCATTCAGCTTGTCTGTTAGATGCTGAAGTCGTTCACTTCTTTCACTGTGTGAAGCAATATTTGACTCCAGCTTTGCAAGCTCCTGTAAGTTAAAATATTTTGAGTTTGAGGCTGTACATGAACTCATTAATCAAACAGTATCAATATATTCTATCAATCATATCATTATTGTGTGACCAAGATACATCAGTTGACTGGGCCTGCAAAGTCCTTGTCATACTACTTTGATCAGTTGAGTTGTTCTTAAATATTTAGACAATATGAATGAAATATATAACAATTGATGGGGTGAATGACTGAGGGCCGATGCCTACGTGTATCCCTATATAATGAGACATACCATTTCGTGTTTCTGTTCCCGGTCCGCCAAATAGTCATCATCAGTTTGTGTTTGCTTGTCTGTAATTGTAGAAGCAAATTGTGAATCCCGAGTGACAGAACAATGCTTTAATTAAAATAACACCACGCAACACATGAGATTCATGTCATCGATCCCAATTGGGTGGATCGATCCTCATGATGTCAATCACTGGATTGTCTGGTCCAGACTCGATTATTTACAGAGTGCGGCGTTAAACAACAAACAAACAAACAAAAAACGGAACACATGAATCAAGTTTCAGCGGAATGTAGGCACATATCATCAATAAAGAAGAATAACTGTTTAGATATGCATACCCTCAGGTGTTCCCCCTTCTGAATCTTCTTTCAAGGTAGTGATGTTACCAAATCCAGACATATCTGATTTCAGTTTGGACAAGCCATTGGTGTTGAAGACAGCTTCAGGTACATCATGTGTTTCCAGTGAAGCAGTTTCTAGGCAGGTCCGAGTCATCCCCTCAACAGTGGTCTCCAGCTGCACGAGGACTGATGTTGAAGCATAGAGAAGACATTTTCGGATATAACCTGAAATGTCGGTGCATCTTGCATGATGCTCTTTGCATGAGGTTTCAATAGCATGTAGAGTTGCCTTGGTTTCCCTCGTCTGACTTTCAAGATCAATCAGGAGTTCCTTCTCCCTTTGGTCAAGTTGTGATCTTGAAGACCGGAAAGTATGTTCTATTGTCTTCCTCAATGTGTCCTGTGTCCTGTTGGTCAACTGTGTTTCTTGTCTGATACTGCGAATTTGTGTTTGCTGACGGGACAGTAACGCTGACAGATCTTTCCCGTGTTGTTCAATCCGCTGTGTAACTCCTTCAGCAGCTTCATCAAGGTAACCAACCTCGTGATCCGCGTGCTCTCCTCTCCTGCATTGGGAACAGATACACATGTTGCAGCTTTTGTCAAACAAATCAAGTGGATACCGTTCGTGAATATTGCAATTGGTTTCATTTTCAAGGTTTTGGGGGGTTATATCCCCAAAGTTGTGCACAGGATGATTTCTGAAAAGTTTGACGCTGCTGTGCTTGTTCTGGCAGTATTCACAGAGGAACTCTTCACACTCCCGACACCAACACATAGCCTGGTTCCCGTCATCTTCATATATACAGAGGAGCTCTGTGGGGCGATGTTTGACGGTCAGATAGAATATTTCCTTCTGTCTGACTGCATCCTTCTGGAGACTTGTGTCTGTGAGGTTGACCTCCCTCTGACATTTGGAGCATGATATCACATCGCCAGCTACAGATGTCACACACTTCTCACACACGGCATGTAGACAGGGCAGTAAGTAGGGGACTGGACCTTTTAGTGTAAACTCCTGATGACATACGGAACACTTCGGGAAGGTGTCCATTCTGAAAGACACAAAATAATAATGAGATACATATGTCAATTGTATGTGTGTAAGATCCATAACCATACGACGTATTGTGAATCATCCAATTGAGTGTCTCTGAATATGTAGTATATTTATCGAATTGGCTAAAAAGATGTTTTTTCTGAAACTATCTGTGCAATACAAGGAACAATATTTAAATTATATGGCCACTTGATGCGTTGATCTGGAAGGCAAGCATTTTGGTTCTGTTGAGCTATTCATCCTCACCCTAGTAGAGTCGTTTCTCTTTAATCTATAAACACTTTTATTATTGATGAAAACAGAAACTGTTGCCTGAAAACATGTACTTTTTAAATTTCTCATATCACAATCAACCCAAATCATATCAATCCTATGTCACACATAATTAGGGGCACGGGTGGCCGCGACTCGTTGTGCAAAGTTGCGTCCCTTGGGCACGGCAGAAACCTATGATTGTGGGTTCGAATCCCGGTTCGCCTCGATTATGTTTCAAGGTTTGTCAGCACCATACCCGTGCTCGTGGATTTCACCGTAGTGGTAAACGTCTGAGACATCCATCACTTCGGGCTTTCCTCCCACATTAAGCTGACACGCCGTGATATAACTTGAATACTGTTAAAAGCGGCATTAAACCAAACTCACTCACTTACAAATAATTAAGGCCAGTTAAAATACATATCATTTTTCAAAACAAACAGGAAGGGATTTTAAGATTGTATTTTTTACTAGCTTACAAATATAAAACAAATATGAACTTGATTGATAAATGCTTTAGTTATAATGCGTGGGTAAACAGTGCGAACATATTTCAAGTTTGGGTTTAGAGAGGTCCTCCTTAACGGTGATTAGAAAATAAGGGTCACATACTAGTTGGGGCGGTTCAATAAAAATAATCTCTTTTAGACTGCTTCTACACTGGGATGGTGAGATGGTCTTGTAGTTAAAGCGTTCGCTAATGACGTTGGGTTCATGACCCGGGTTCGATTTCCAACATGGATACACTGTGTGAAGTCCACTCATCTACACAATATGCTCGCAAGAGTTAGTGAGTATGGTTTTACGCAAGTTTAAACAATATGCCAGCAATATCAAGGCGGGGGATACTGGAAAATGGGCTTCACACATTGTACCCATGTGGGGAATCGAACCGGGTCTTCGGCATGACGAGCCAACGCTTTATCCACTAGGCTACCCCAGCGCCCCTTCTCGCAAGATGACGTCACGTAGGACACATGTTAAATGTAGTACACAACTAATTTGAATTGTGTCGAGCGTAGCATGAAACCCACATAATGATCATGCGTACATACAACAAAATGTGTATACCAGACGGTTACCCCTGACTACAAACTCGACGATATAACACGTACATTAAAATCACACTAAAATATCCACAAAATAAAACAACCAAAATCCAAATACATCAAATATCGCACTTTTTTACGCAGCATGTTTACATATTCTTGATCTACTGCTTAATAAGCACCTATTCACCTATTCACCTTCAGGAACCCACTAATGCACACAAGCCCACGTGGTGCGCACAGATCCAGAAACATTCCCCATATGTGTACAATCAGATACAACCTAATACTCCTCATAAAGCAGCCCACATCCTTTCAGCGTGCACTTATGCATTTGTGATCACAACAATAAAGCCATATCTTATCATCACCACAGGATTTTATACACTATTTTATCAAATTGAATTATATTCCACTATGTAGAACCTAATACTAGGACCGCCTACGTGGTCTAGTGGTAGAGCGTTCGCCACGGGGGCGGACGATTGGGGGTTTCGTTCCCCTCTTTCATACCAAAAGACGTTAAAGTCGGTACTTGTTGTTACCTGGTGCTCGGCATTAAGAGACCAAAACAATTAGTCGGCTCGGAGGCAGTATATTTGTTCTAAGTTGGGTATTCGTGTTAAACTGCAGCGTGGTATCTCATTTGGCTAGTGCTATAACATCGGCATTAGTCCGGACTAGTACAAGGAGACACACACACACACACACACACACACACACACACACACACACACACACACACACACACACACACACACGCATAGCTAAATAAGTGCAATAATCTGGAATGTGACGTTTAACCTCAGCTCACCTCACCGCACCTAACATTAACAAAATAACTCATCCTTCTGTATGTACTACTGGATAAACAACGGCAATCTATGCAGCACACAGGCCATTAATTGGATATACACACAGTAACCCTACCCTACAAGCAACATTACTTCAGTAAGTGTCCTCTTGATAAGCATCACAACTCCATGACTCACGATAACAAAGCAACAAAAAGACATTACTCCTATCTCACACTGTATGTTCAGGTGTTCTAAATACAGCCACTATCGGTGTTGTGTTAGCAGGTACATGTCTGCGCATGCTCTACATCTGTTACACGGAACACGACTCAGAAAAAAGTGCACGCATTACCGAGGTACACCGACCTGACTAATCGCACCCCCTCTACAGGGAAGTACGACAGTTTTGTCAACAACACTATCTACCGTACTCTTTCAGCTAATCTTTTGTCTTATCCGTTAGTCGGGAAAAGAGTGACAACAATTTGCGACTCCCTGCATCCTTGGGAGACATGAGGGTAGGTTGGTGTGACTTTGTTTGCTTACATGTTTACAGCACCAGTCCTACAGGACAACGAACACAATCTGCACCAACAGCCTGTTGTTTCTAGGCTTTGTGGGTTGAATCATTTAGGTAACTACGGTAATCTGTGAACCAATCTGAACACACAGACACATACCCGAGTCGGGTGTAGTTACATAACTTGTGTTGCCAGTCAGTTTAGCCCAGGTACAACACACGTTTAGCACACGTACAACACAGGTACAGCACACGTACGACACACGTACAACACACGTACAACACACGTACAACACAGGTACAGCACACTTATAGCACACGTACAACACAGGTACAGCACACGTACAACACAGGTACATCACACGTACAACACACGTACAACACGGGTACAGCACACGTATAGCACACGTACAACACAGGTACAGCACAGGTTCAACACAGGAACAGCACACGTACAACACACGTACGACACAGGTACAAAACAGGAACAGCACACGTACAGCACAGGTTCAACACACGTACACCACGTACAACACAGGTACATCACAGGTACAACACACGTACAACACAGGTACAACACACCTACAACACAGGAACAACACACGTACAACACGTACAACACATACAACACACGTACAACACAGGTAGAACACGCGTACAACACAGGTACAGCACACGTACAACATAGGTACAACACACGTACAACACATTTACAAGACA